GCCCCCGGGGGTAGGGGTGGGGGCTCCAGGCTGTGGTGGCCTCTCAAGGACGACAGGTCACCTGTGCTGGGGAGGCAGATTTGGGTCAGGAAGTAATTCCCCTCCAGAGAGTTACTTATTAACCACCAGGACCAGCAACTATTTGAGAACACGGAGGGCGGTGGAGAAGGTCTGTTCAAGTATGAGGCTCTAACGCCCACCTGAGCTGCCTTGAATGCACTCGGGAGGGAGGTTCGCTGCTTCTATAGCCCAGGAAGGGTGACTGAGGGGCAAGGGATGGGAAGAAAGTGGGGGGGATGGGGAGGGGAGGGAGAAGAGGGAGCCAGTGGGAGCCCTGAGAGGCATGTGGCGTGGGCAGGGCTCTGCAGGACAAGGTACTTAGATTAGGGTTGGGGGTGGGGTGCACAAGGATTAGGAAGAGCCAGTTTGGAGGGTGGGGGAGGGGAGGGGAGTCCAGAGACTTGGTTTGGTTCTCGGCCTGCTCTAGGAAATGGTGACAGCTGCCTTGCGTATCTGTCTCTCCCGTCAAACTGGGGCTGTCTTAAGGACAAAGCTACATCTCCCTCCAAGATGGGTCCTGAGGGCAGACTAGACTTGGCGTGAGTGGGCAGGTCTATGTCACCCCTAGACTGGGCCCCACCTCACAAGGAACCACAGAAGTGAGCAAAAGAAACAGCCAGAGATGCAGATACTGAGAACAGGGCTCACTTTATTGAGAAAACAGAAAGTTGGGTCCTTGGTACCAAGATGGAACCTGGGGTGGATAAGAAGGCAGGTGTTTCCATCAAGCTTTGTTTTTGATGTGCCTGCCTCCCTCAAAATCCGAGTGGCAGCTCCAATTACACGCTTCCTCCTGTTCTGGGCAAATGCGCAGTGGATTTTACCAATAGATGTCTGTTTCTTGGATCAAGGAACATGAGGGAAATGCCTCGGTTCTGTTCCGGAAGGGCAGAGGCCTCAGAATCCATCAGCTCCTACCTCTGCCCCACATTGTGCAGAGGCCCAGAAAGGGACAGAGACCTGCCCAACATCACAGCAAGGAAGCAGATGACAGAGTTAAAACCACATTCCCGTGGCTCACACCTGTAATCCTAGCACTCTGGGAGGCCGAGGCGGGAGGATCACTCAAGGTCAGGAGTTTAAAACCAGCCTGAGCAAGAGTGAGACCCCAGCTCTACTAAAAATAGAAAGAAATTAACTGGCCAACTAATTAAAAAAGAAAGAAAGAAAGACACATTCCCTGTCTCCTGTCTTGGGACTCATTCTAGAAGAAGAGATTCTAGAAGATGAGCCCCATCTGATGGATGTCATCTGCATGGGCACTGCCAAGGGACTCCATCCCCATGACACGAAGGCTGAAAGGCCATAGCCAGTGCCACGAGGGAACTTTCTTCCTTTCCAGGCTGTCTCACCCATTCTGGGGTCCCCGGGATGGCAGTTCTGGTGAGGACAAAAGAGGACAGCCACGTATGAGGAACTTGGGGAGAAGACATCCTCTTGAAAATCAGTGCATGCTGCCCCCTCCTTCTGGAACTCAAAAGAGATGGTTAAAAGAGAAAGTCCTTTGCTCCTGACCCACCTACAGCATTAAGAAGCATGGGTTGGAGCAGGCATAACCTAATACTAGATAATATTTAAAAGCTCCATTTGCTGAGCACTTGTTATGCACCAGGCGTATCATTCACCCACTGGGCAAACTACTGTGTGCCCACTTGCACTTGCTGGGGACCCTTCCATGACCCAAACAGACAGGGTCCTTCACTCACAGCCTCTTTATAAATCTTCTCAACTTCGCACCCGGTTAAGTGTTGTCACAGAGTGCAATGACTTGCCTAAGGTCACACAGCAAAGACATGGCAGGCAGTTGGAAAATCACAGAACAAGCAGGACTTCTGAGGCAGGGAGGGAAGGGATGGGGAGAGGGACCTACCTAGGTCACAGCAGTTTCTTGGGCGGCTGGCATGTGCCTCTGCTGCCAAGGCGATGAGGCACAGAACTCGGCACAGGGAACACTCACGTCCGCCACTGTGAGCTGGACCTGAGAATCTCCCTAGGATCCTCTGTGTAACCACAGAGCGTTTCTCTTGGGAGGCAGGAGGAGGAAAGCAGACGAAGTGACTTGACAGACCTAAGAGGGGATGCTCGCTGGGCCAATCACTGCCAAGCCACGTGGCCTTGGGCAAGTCGTGCCCTTCTCTGAGCCTCAGTTTCCTCATCTGTAAAGGGGAGGTAATAACGATGCCTTCCTCGTAGTCGTGCGGTGAAGACTGAGTTCCTCTAGGTGACGAGGCACAGAGAGTGCTGCCTTACCCGTTGCTAGTGCCTCTCGCGGCAAGGCGAGTGGGAAAGCGCTCCGCACCCTGGAAATGGCTGTCACAGGGCGGGGCTGCTCCCTGGGGTGGCGCCGGCCGGAGCCTGGGCACCCTCCCGCGCCGCCTGCTACTGCATCGGCACGTCCATCTCGAGAACCCTCACCCCCTCACACTTCTAGCAAATGGCCAACAATCCAGCAAAACCAGGACTCTTAGTAGAGACTGATCCATTCCCTCATCTTAGATTTAGGAGGAAACAGAAGCTCCCTGACCCCCTCTAAAACTCCCATTTTGAATTCCCAAACTGCTCGCAGCTGGAGCCACATGGCCAGATGTCGTGTCTCCAGCTTCCAACATCTGCAAGCTCAGAGTGGGGAACCAGGTCGACTCTCTCCTGTCACTCCTCCCAGCGTGGGGCCCAGAGCTAAATAAAGCAATAAATAAACAACGAATGAGAAGTGTGTGTATGTACTTTGTGTATGAGTGCTGGGGACAGGACCTAGGGGTGTCACTTCCTAGGGTGTCTGGCGCCTCTGGGGCTGGCTCCCAGCCTGGATCTGCAGCAGGTGCTAGGCGGGGCAGGCAGCCAGGAGCCAGACCCTCAGCTAGGGACCTGTCACTGACACAAAGAGGGGCTGGTATTTGGACGGAGACCCAGAAGGTGCCCAGCCTGGACTGTTTTTACAAGTCCTCTGAGGACACTGGGGCCCCTCTCTACCTTGAGGAGCATTTCAAATTCTGAGCTAAGCAAACCTTAGAGAAGCTGCCTCTAGCACCCACGTAATTATTAGAGGATAACCCTGCATTGAGGGCCTAGGATGTGCCAGGCACTTTGGTAGGCACTTTGCTCACTGGATCTCTAGCTTTCAGAGGGATTTCTGAAGCAATGTGTTAAGATCACACTTCTAGCAAATGGCCAACAATCCAGCAAAACCAGGACTCTTAGTAGAGACTGACCCATTCCCTCATCTTAGATTTAGGAGGAAACAGAAGCTCAGAGAGGGTAAATCCCTTGCCTAGGTCACACAGCCAGTAGCTTCAGAGCTGAGATTTGAATCCAGGTTTGGGAACTGCCCAGACCATGTAGGAGGCTGAACTTGAGGGCTCTGGTTTACTCCCATCACCTTCCTGCCCTCCCTACCCCCATCCTCTTATGACACTTGACATTATCCATCACTCCCTCCCCCTGGGAACGCCCTCCTCCTCCAGTTTCCATGGCAGCACATTCTCCCCATCCTCCTGCTTCTCCAGCAGCTTCTCCCTCCCCACAGTGGCTCCTGAGCCCAGGAAGCATGGGGCCCCCAAGCCAGGTCTCTTCTCTCTCATCATCATTCCCCATGAAAGGTCGCCTCCTTTTCCCTGTAGGTCTCTAGCTCTGACCTTGCACTTCAGCTACACATTTTTTTTTCTCTGTTGCCCAAGCTAAAGTGCAGTGGTGTCATCATAGCTCACAGCAACCTCAAACTCCTGGGCTCAAGCCATCCTCCTGCGTCAGCCTCCTGAGTAGCTGGGACCACAGGTGCACATCACCACACTCACCTAATTTTTTCTATTTTTAGTAGAGACAGGGTCTCATTCTTGCTCAGTATGGTCACGGACTTCTGAGCTGGAGCGACTCTCCCGCTGCAGCCACCCAGGGTGCTAGGACTACAAGTGTAAGCCATTGCACCCAGCTGATTTTTCTATTTTTTTGTACAGCTATGGTCTCATTATGTGGCTCAGGCTGGTATCGAACTCCTGGCCTCAAGCCATCCTCCTGCATGAGCCTCCCAAAGTGCTGGGATTACAAGTGTGAGCCACCATGCCAGGCCTAGCTCTACTTTAAAGTAATAACTGCCACTTACAGTGTGCTTAGAGTTGACTCATGTGCTGGGCCCTATACCTATACATATGTTAAGTCCTCATTACCACCATGAAGGCAGTCCACTCTACAGATAAGGACACAGGCTCAAAGAGGGAAAGCCAAGATCTGATTCCAGCCTTAACCACTACTTCTATTACATCAAGAAGAGATATGAAATGGTAGGACATGCATTCCAGTGTGGTTGAGGAAAACAATTAAAAAAAAAAAAAAAAAAAAGAAATGGTAGGACAGGATATGAAACCAGGGGTAAATACCTCCCTCCCCCTTCCCTCCCTCTAGAGAGAGAGGAATGGAAATTTTGGGGGAAGCAGACCTACTCTACAGTTTTGAGAACCCTGTGATAATCTAGAATTACACTGTCAATTTAGAGCTTTAAAATGCATCATGCATAGTACATTTTGAAAATGTGAAGATTTGGAGAGCTTCAGGAGGAACAAAAGTTCATAGAAAATTGCCTTTTTCCTTCAGATTTTTCCATTTGGTTTGATGCCTGGAATTAACTGGAAACTTGGACCCTAGAATTCCACTGACCTGAGTTCTGCCAATACTAACAGGCTCTGGGACCCAGGGGCAAGTGGCTTGACCTCTCTGAGCCTCAGCTCTCTCATCTAAAATGGGGATATTACTACTTCCCCCACTGGGCTGTCATGAGGACCAGATGGGGTAAAGCATGAAGCACTTGGCCCAGAGCCTGGCACACAGAAGAGCTCACTCAAGCCCCGTGCTCCAGCCGCATCCAACTTTTTGGGTGTGCCAAGCACTCGAACATCCCCATGCTTTTGCACACACTGTACCTTCTTCTTGGTGGCCAACTCCTATTCATGGCCCCCTGTCCCTTTTCCACCTTTAAGGGAATTGCTACAAAGGTGTTTTAGTAAAAAGCGAGAAAAGGCACTTCCCTGGGGACACCTTCCCTGGGGCTCTGTCACTACTCTCACCACACTGAGATGCAACTGTGTCTCCCAGCATTGGGCAGGGCCACGTCTGACTCATTTCCAGGTCCCAGTGCCCAGAGCACGTGTCTCGCATGAAGCAGATTCCAATCCAAGTTTGCCTTATTTTAAGCACACGTGGTCTGGACCCAGTGCCTGCTGTACCCAGGACAAATTTATCTACCAGAAGGGGTAAAAAGCAGCCAGATCAGTTACAGCCCCAGGAGACGGCAATGAGCAGACTTTAAGCAGCCTTGAAACAGCTCTGTCCTAGGAGGGGCCGAAGGGGACACAGTCTTTGGGAGGAGAATAAACAGCCTGGCTCTAACATTACCTCATTCCGGAGTCTCCTCTGGTTCCTAAATCGTCCCCTTTCCCTGCCATACCCCCAAAGCATTAGCAAGAGGAGTCCCAGATGATCAGTGTCCAGGAGTGTCCCCGACTTACTGATCGCCTGCCCTCGCTCAGACACAGACGTCTCTGTGGTCCATATGGGTGGGGAGGGTGATCTGGGAAGGTTGGGACCCCAGGTCACAGTGGCTTAGCAGGCTGGATGTGTGTGCTGGGCACTGCCCCATAGCTTTCCGGGCCCCCGGGGAGCCATTTCCTGAAGGAAGAACATCCCCAAGTCTGGGGCTTCTGGGGACCTCACCCTGAGAAGGGGCTATCCTTTGCCCCCTGAGGTCATCCCTTCCCTGAAGGTGCCCAAAGCCCATCTCGGTGCCTAAGTCTACAAGCCCCTGAATGCTATTCAGTCTCTGTGGAGTGACAGCCTCCCGGCTTTTGTTCCAAAGAAATGGCTGTCAAAGGGAAAGAGGTATATTGTTTCTTTATCTTTTTCCTTTTGTTTGAGACAAAGACGTCAATTTCTTTCCATTCGTCCCAAAAAGGGAAGAAAATTAAATTTGTTTTTACAAGGATGTCAGCGCACCCGCTTCAGAAGGGTGTCAGGGGTGCGACTCTGAGGCAGCGTCTGTGAGGGAGGGGCGGGGTGGGGGGATGGCGCCTGGGGGAGGCACAGGGAACAGGACAGACTCTGACATTGGGGGAAGCAAAGATCTGGCAGCGCCTGAATACAATGCCACACAAATGGAGAGAAAACCTCTCTCCCAACTGGGGGTGGATGCCGCCCTCAGCGGCTGGAAGGGGGCAGCTGGGCTGGAGCAGGTGGGGGCCAGGGAAAGCTGCGGGGAAAGGGACGGAGCACACGCTGACGCTAGTGGGGCAGTTAGGAAAGCCTCCTTCTCCCAGTTCCTTCACAGTCCGGTCCCCACATGGGCAGTTCTAGTTCATTGCAGTCCTTGGCACCAGACACACGTTGGGGGAGGGGATTTCTCCCAGGTTCCTATCGGGGGCACAAGACCCAGCACCAAGTCTGCACCGATGCTTCTGATACCCGCCACCCACTTCCAGATGCCACTTATCATCCATGGGGCTCTAAGTACACGGTCCTTTGTCCTCTAGTACCTGGACAGAGAAGCCAGGGCCCTGGGGACTCTCCAGCTTGAGGGGTGAACCTCGAGCAGAGCCCGCCCCTCTGCCTCAGCCCACCCACCCCTTGGCACAGGCGCCCCCTCCAAGTGTGGGTTTTAGAGCGGAGGGGCCTTCTGTCTCCTTCCCAAGCCTCTGGGCCCCTGTTAGAACTCAGGGCTGGGGACCCTACTCCAACCGAGGCCAGTCTCACTGCTCTATCCTGGAGCTGTGGGCGGGCCCCTTTGCTGTCTGGTCCAAGCCCCACTGGAACGAGGTGCTGTGGCCACTACTTCCCTGCTGAAGCATCCCTGCGGGTTCCAAGGAAATACATGTCGGAGAGAAAAGGTATATTGTTTCTCTCTTCCTTTTATATTCTTATTCATAAAGATATCAAGCTGGACCTAGCCCTCGCCAAACCCTGCCCTTGCTAGAACTCAAGAAGCTGGGACTCGACCCCAAGTCGAGGCCCCACCCCCTGCACACCGGCCTTCTACCTTGCAACCAAATCTTGAGCTGTAGCCATGCCAGCCTGTCCTGTCCTGCTGTCTTGCCCCAGAAGAGGCCCCTTGCCACTACACAGAGGTCCAACCTTGCAGCTCAGTTCTCAAGCAACTGTCCCCACCACTGTCCCTCCTGGGTCCTGGGCCCAGGAGACTCAGGTCTCAGGACAGACCCCTGCTCCCGAATGCTCCGCTCTGGGTTATAACTGGAGGCTGTCCCAAGGGTGAGGCCCCGCCCCACTGCGGAGTCCCCATTTGGGGGCCCAGTTCGGCAGTCACAGGTCCCTGTGTCACTCCACTCTTCCGGAGTCCCTAGCTCCTCCGCCCACCCTAGAGCGGTTGACAGTGCGGCCAGCCCAGAGGCATGGCCCCAGCAATCTGCAGTCTGCCAATCCACTGCCTGGCCCCCTTCTCCAATGCAGAGGCCCCGCTGCCGGTCCCAAGCCTCCGACCCTCTACTGCCCCATTCCGGATCGCGGCCTCCGCCCCGCGTTAGGACTCGGTGTGGCCGCGGGGTCGCTTCGGAGGGGCACCTGGGGGCGGGGGCGGCCTGGCCTGGTCAGGCGGCCGCACCTCCGCCCGGACCATCGGATGGGGTGCAGGCGGTGACCCGCTCGCGGGCCGTGGCCTCGCGGGCGCGGCTGAAACTGCCGGGTTCCGGGTGGCCGCAGGGCTTGCGGCAGAGCTGGCGGAAGCAGCGCTTGAAGTTCTCGTCGAGGAAGGCGTAGAGCACGGGGTTGAGGCTGCTGTTGGCGTAGCCCAGCGCGATGCACAGGTGCAGCGCGGCCACCACGAGCGGGTCGCGCCGGTCGATGTCCACCAGCGTCCAGACGATGACGAAGATGTGGATGGGCGCCCAGCACACCACGAAGGCGCCCACCACCACGAGCACCATGCGCGTGATGCGCCGCAGGCTGCGGTCCTTCTCCTTGGAGCCCGACAGCAGGCGCACGCTGCGCAGGCGCAGCAGCATGAGGCCGTAGCACACGGTGATGACGAGGATGGGCACCACGAAAGCGAAGAGGAACACGCAAATCTTGGTCACCGTGTCCCAGTACCAGCTGGGGCTGGGGAACTGGAGCATGCACACCACCGTCCCGTCTGGGCCGGGAAAACAAGGAAAGATAGACAGGGGGTGAGGGCCTGTGCGCCCACGGGGCCCTGCCTGTGCGCCCACCCTTCTAAGGCTTGGTCAGGTCCCACCACCTCCTCCTGGCATTTGCTCAAGGTGATTCCTTTGCCTCCTGCGCTTCTGTACTTGGCGAACTCCTACTCGTCCTTAAAGACCTCAGCAGGATTGGCTCTCAGCCAGGCGGTCTTTCTGTGTTCTCTCCTGGCCCCTCTACGTCCATAGGTAGCAGAAATGAAATAATTTAGCTCATCCCATTAAATGCCAGTCATTAGGATAACTGAAAACACTCCAACCTATTTCCAAACTAGCTCCAGTGGGGACAGTCCTGCTAGACTGACTTAGGAGCAGGACTCCGTGTAGGCAAATTACTCAACTTCTTTGAGCTTCAGCAGAGTGAGACTAACAACAGTACTTACATCTCATAAGATTGTTGTGAGGATTAAATGGGATAAGGCATGTAAAGCACAGTGGGGTCCAAGCTCTTGGGGCAGTCACCAGAAAGGGGGGCACATACGTGTGGGAGTCCAGAGGCCAGGCTGGGGCCAGCCTTCTGACAGGCGGCAGATCTCAGCTTAACTTCAGGAAGATCTTCCTGACAGCCAGGTATGCCTGGAGATAGGAAGGGCACCCGGGATGGAATGAGGTCCCCATTCCTGGAGTGTGGCCTTGGGCTGGATGAGCACCTTAGGGGATGCTGTGGGATTCTGATACAGTCCAGGGGCTGGCCCAGGGGACTCCCAAGACCTCTTAGAATGCCAGGATTAAGCAGCCAGACAGTGGACTTGAGCCTGAGAGTTATGAGAAGAGGGCTGGGAACCTACAGACAAAGTGGGACCACAGGATATCAGGCTGGCAGGACCCCCAGGGAGGACTGAGTCCAGAGCCTTTATTGTATAGATGGCAGAACCAGGCCCAGAGAGGAACAGCACTTGTTTAAGGACACACAGCAAGTGGCATACAGAACCAGTAAGTGCAGATGGAGGAGTCTGTGCGTGTGAGAGCGTGTGGAGTGAGGAGGCCCATCTGGTCCAGCCCCCAGCAGGGCTGCAGTTAATAGCCCGTAAACTGCAGGCTGACAGCGAAGAGGGGGCCCTGCTGCTGAGTCAAGGCCAACTGCTCAGAGGCTGTATATGGGCACTGGGGGCTCTGCCCTTGTGAGAGTCAAGGGTGACCAAGAAGCCTCTCATCAAACCTGTTCCCCTCCCCACTCATAGCGCTGACCCTCTGCAAACCTCTTCTCAAGGAGGTCAGGATTTGGGGGCAGGAACCTTGAGTCGTAGGCCAAATCCCACCAAATGCCTGGCTGTGTGACCCTAAGTAAACCACCTGACCTCTCTGATTCTCTGTTTTCCTACAGTCAAATGGAGGTAGGAGTCCCTGCCTTGTCTATGTCACAGGCTTAATCACTTAACAGCTGCTATTTATTGGGCCTTGGCAATGAGTCAGGGCTTGTTCTCAGTATTTTACACACATAACCTCTTTTAACCTTCTCAATACCCCATGATATAATGTGGCTCAGAGAGGTGATAAGTTACTAGCGTCTTTGGTACCCTTCTAGACTACTTTTCCCACTTCCTCCCATCACGGTGGAGCCATGTGACCAGCTCTCACTAGGAAGGGATGGGCCATAACACTTAAAGTAGTTGTGCTTTCTCCCCCCTCCCTCTCCATACTCATCTGTGGCCACATGCTGGCAGTGGGAGATTCAGAAACCATCGGTAGGAACCTGGGTTCCTGAGTGACTGTGCTCCTCTTACACTGGATTGTGATGTGAGTGAGGGGTAAAATTCTGCTGTTAAGCCCCTGAGCTTTGGAGACTGTGCGTTACAACAGCTATCCTAATATAGGCAGTTGCTATAATAATTGTCATTGTACTCTCAGGAAATACACCCTTCTGTCATTCTCTGTGGGCCATTCTCTAGGCCTTGCTTTGGTCATCTGGGCCAATGGTTTTCAAATTAGGGTGAAAGGAAGTTTGGGATGGGACTGCAGATCCTGTGGCCGCCACTGCTCCCTGGCCAGTGATACTCTCACCCCACTGGCCATCCATCCATCTCCCCATAGGTCAGTCATCCACAACACATTCCGGTACTGTTGCCTGCATGCACATGGACTAGCCATCCATAATCCCATTCATAAATGCATACATTCCCTTTGGCCAGCAACCCTCAGGACCACTGACCTGTCATTCATCCTCACACAGTCACCAATTACATTCCCATTGGCTGACCTTCCACACTCGGACTGCCCAGCCGTCACGCTTTCATTGATTAGCAATCCACACCTCCACTCGTGAGCCACCTACACACACCCTAGTAAGTGCCCGACAAGCCCACAGAGGCCCACGTGCTGCCTCCTGTGGTCAGTGGCCTGTGCCACAGCTTGCTCACTCACCCCGGGGACGGGTCACTGCCATGACCATGATGGGCACACCAACACCCGAGGCTAGGACCCAGATGCAGATGTTGATCAGCTTGGCCTTGGCGGGTGTGCGGAAGTCCAGGGCCTTGACAGGGTGGCACACGGCGATGTAGCGGTCGACACTCATCATGGTGAGCGTGAAGATGCTGGTGAACATATTGTAGTAGTCGATGGAGAGCACGGCCTTGCAGAGCAGTTCGCCAAAGGGCCACGTCTCCATCAAGTACTTGGCACTCTGGAAGGGCAGCGTGCTGGTGGCCAGTGCGTCGGCCAAGGCCAGGTTGAAGATGTAGATGTTGGTGGCCGTCTTCATCTTAGTGTACCTTAGAAGGAAGCGCATGTATAGTTGATCCCACTTCACAGATTTCAGTTTCATATGAGACTCAGGGAAATAAAGTGACTTGCCCAAGGTCACACAAAAGGTCAGGGGAAGAGGTGGGACTCGAACCCTAAACTATCTGATGCAGCATCACTCCTTCCACAACAGATGCAAAGGGATTTCTCTGCCTGTGGGTGAGTTTGGCAGAAGGTATTTTATGAAAAATCCTTATTTTCTGAGAAGCACTAAGCTTTAATATAATTAAAGATAAAATTGAGCTCTAGAGGAAAATCGATCTAAGTTCTAATCCTATCTCTACTATTTATTAGCTGAGTGACTCTGGGTTAGTAACTTCAACTCTCTAAGCCTCAGCATCCACAACTATAAAAAGAGGGGTGATTATTTGTACCAACTTCCCAGGATGATTGTGACAATTTAAAGAGATAAGATAGCACATGGCCCTGAGTCAGATGCATGGTAAGCACTCAGGATGTGAAAGCTGTTATTATTCTTCATATATGAAGAATAGAGCTGGGGGCTAGACCAGAGTGACTGCTCTAGCTTCTGCCACTGGGCTGGCTTTCTGGGAATATGATTGGCCAGCTCTGAGGAAGGGACACTGCTTAGCAGACTGGCTGGGGGCTTAGGCATCTGGGGCATCCTCCATGGTAGACCAGGGCTCCCAGTCCTTCCTGTGGTCCCATCCAGACCTTCCTATCTCCATGCAACTGGCCTCACCCCTCTCTGAAGAAGCCACGGTGCATCCCCCTCCCCACCCAGAGTGGCATGGGGAAGGGAAGCAGGTGCCAGTGCCAAACATGCAATCCAGCACATGAACCCAGGGGTCCAAGCCAGCTGTCCGCAGCCACACTCTGCACCCGACACCCCCACCATCCTTCCATGCTCTATGCTGCGACAGCTGTCCACACTGCAGCTGGCACCTTGTTTGGGCAACATTTATGGCCATGGCGCCTTCTGTACCAGGGCCTGGTGCCAGGTGGCCTGGGGGAGATCACACACACTGAAACACGCCGTCCTGGTGCAGCGCAGTCGTCACAGACAACACACAGACCCCCTGAGGCAGAGGTACACGACACTTCTTTAATGCCCCTGGAATGATCGGTGAAACCCAGAGAAGGGTTGCATCATGTCACTCAGTGACTGCTCAAATTCCAGAGCAGGGAGGCCCTGACAGATTGGGGGGAAGCGGTTGTATTAAAGTGTGGCCCAAGGTCTGCCTTCAGAATTACCGGAAGAGCCTGCGAGAAATGCAGACTCCTGGACTCCGTCTCAGATCTGCTAAATCTTAATCTCTGCACCTGGGGCCTGTATCTTCATCTGTAACAAGCACCTCCTACCCCAGGTGATCCTAATGAACGCCAAACTTTGAGAATCACTGTGTAGCCTAAAGCCCACACTGGGGACAGACGGGGGGGTTGAAGCCAAGAAAGGCAGCACGACCCCATCCAAGGTGATACAGCGACAGTGGCAGAGCCGGGGCGAGAACTGAAACACCCTGCCTCCCGGTGCCCTCGCCCCACTCTACCCCCAGCGCGGCCCTACGCTCTGCGCCTCCAGTCCTTTAGACTTCCCCTGGTACTGGGCTCAGCCCAGGGCACCTAAGAAGAGGCCACTCAATGTTTGCATGACCAAACAAACTCACATCAGCTAAGGCTGTTCCTTTAGAAGGTGACTGATTTTAGGGGCTTAAAAAAAAAATTTGAGGCCGGGCACAGTGGCTCATACCTGTGATCCTAGCACTCTGGGAGGCCGAGGCAGGAGGATCAGTCAAGCTCATAAGTTCGAAACTAGCCTGAGTAAGAGCGAGACCCCGTCTCTACTAAAAATTGAAAGAAATTAATTGGCCAACTAAAAATATATAGAAAAAATTAGCCGGACATGGTGACACATGCCTGTAGTCCCGCTACCTCGGAGGCTGAAGCAGGAGGATCGCTTGAGCCCAGGAGTTGGAGGTTGCTGTGAGCTAGGCTGACGCCACAGCACTCTAGCCTGGGTGACAGAGTAAGACTCTGTCTAAAAAAAAAAAAAAATTGAATCCTCATTGTCTCCAGGGCAGCATCTGTCCTACTCCCTCCCAAATAGCTGTCATTTGCTCTGGGGCTGGAGAAGCAAAAAGTTTTGCTGGAGAGAAGCAGGCTGCAAGTCTCAGGAAGTGTCTTCAGCGGTGCGGATCCCAGCTGTGTGGGAGGCGGCTCAACCCACAGCTGACTCGTCTAATTCTCTGCTCTTACGCAGACAATTAGAGGCTGTTCTTTGCCTGCTATTTTGATTTGCGAAGGATCCTTCCATTCCCAGAGGGGGCTGGGATGCTGGAAGTGGGTGAAGAACACGGTGCTCGTCCAGGCGATGACATATCTGCCGGGCGGAGCCCACAGCTCTCTCCTCGCAGGCCTCTGTCCCGCTGCAGCCACACCCTGTCCTGCCA